TACTAAACACTGTCAAAAGATAAGAGAATGTCTACCACCAGTTGAGGGAAAGAAGGAAGCACTCAAGAAGGTCCTGTCTGCTCTAGCAGAGAGAGAGGGTGAGATCAGAGAGAAAGGAGAAGGAGTCTTAGAAGAAATACATGAAATGGTAGAGGAAATGATTGCTGTTCTTCGTGAGTCAGAGAGGAAACTGACTGAGCAGGCAAAGAGGGTCACTGATGATAAACTAAAGGTGCTGTCAGAGCAAATGAAATCAGCAGAAATAAGTTTGAGTGTTCTGGAGGATGTTGAGGATTATGTGGAACAGAGTCTGAAGACAGGCAGTCCTCAACAAGTCCTGAGAACTAAGAACCAGATTATGGAGCATATGAGTGAAGTTACTGCAGGGATCAATGTGGAGGAGTTACATCCAAAGGAAAAAGCCGACTTTGTATTGAGTAAAGATATCAAATTGCTTTATCACATTGGAGATATTGTGACCTACTCATCTACTGCACTACAGCAGTGTAGAGTGAAGAAGATTGATCGTATTACACCTTCTGGTGAAGCAGTTTCGTTTTCACTATCAATGGAGGCACCAGATTCATCTCTTTTGTGTGTTCCCCTCTCTTCTCTGAGATGTAGTCTAGTACCAGTTGGTAAAGGTGATGAACCCATTGACACTACAGTGACTACCACCAGCACTGATCCTGGAGTGTATAGGATACAGTGTAAACCTTCAACACGTGATACTCATACATTAAAAGTACAAGTATATGATGTACACCTTGAGGATACCTCACTAGTTATCCCTTTCAATCCTTACCTTGGTAACATCACTCCAGTACGTACTATACCTGGGCTCAATTGTCCCTGGGGAGCTGCTGTAAGTGATGATAATTATTTTATAATAACTGAATATTTGGGCAACTGTGTAACAATACTGGATAGAGAAAGAAAGAAAGTGATATCATTAGGAGGGGAAGGAGGAAGTGGTAATGTCAAGTTTTTTTCTCCTCGTGGTGTAGCCATTACTCCAGACAAATTCATTCTTGTGTCTGATAATCACAAGATCCAAAAGATAAGCATGGATGGATACCTTATAGCATCAGTTGGTGAGTTTGGCAGAGGACCACTACAATTCAACATTCCTTCTGGTATAGCCATTTCTCCTATAACAGGACAGGTTTATATTGCTGATAGGGATAATCATCGTATACAAGTCTTGAATCCTGATCTAACCTTCTCTCATTCATTTGGTAGTGAAGGATCAGCTAATGGACAGTTTCAGTATCCAACTGACATTGCTATTGACAGTCAAGGATTAGTGTATGTTACTGATAGTGAAAATCATCGCATTCAGAAGTTCACTTTAAATGGAAACTTAATGGTTCAGTTTGGTACTTATGGATCTGGTCCTGGAGAGCTTAAGTATCCAGTAGGTATAACAATAGACACTGCAGGTACTGGTCTAGTGTATGTTAGTGAAGATGGGGCGCATTGTGTATCAGTCTTCACTAGTGATGGTGTGTTTGTTAGTTGGTTTGATTGTAGCCAATATTCGATAAGAGATGAAAGTTTGAATGCTTTTAACCGTCCTTATGGATTAGCCTTTAATAATGGATTTTTGTATGTTTGTGATCTTAGTAATTGCTGTCTTGTCGGTTTTTAATACTTCATTTTTATGAATTGTTTTTTATTTTATGATTGTTTTTACCACTTTGTATCCATATTAACCTGGCATTTGTATCTTAAAAGTGCAAGACTTTGTCTGATTTAAATGCTGTAACTACATAAAACTCAACATTCCCTATTCAACTTTGTTGAAAGCACCTTTGTGTTTAATGGCAACTCTGTTGCCTGAAATAGAACCAAGTTTTGTTTCAGGCAAAAGAGTTTACAGCACATCAAAGCAACCACAAAGTTGCTTTCATACATGTTTAGTAGATGGTGGACTTAAAGAACAAGTTGGTTGCTAATTGCTATTTTTAAAATACAATAATGTGTATAGAAGAAATGTAAGTACGACATACATGTACTTACATGTATATGATCTTAGGAACGACCTAGGGCTTTTTCCCCCATTATGTCAGCTAAAATTCTGGAATGATTAGACCAACAAAGTAGTTGGTTTCAATTTTTATAATCTTTTAATTGATGTACGTGTCATTATCTTTCTCTCTCTTGCAGTATCCTACCTTTATCTCCATTTTTTGTTCTTGTTTTACGTACACAATTTTATTCTTTTCTTGAAATGGTAACCAAACCATCTTCATCATCTTCTCCTGGTCTCCTCAAACTGGAGGAACTTTGACCTTACTGCTGGTTGTTATGGCTTTAGAATGTTAATAACTTCACTGTAATAATAGTCACAATTATTAAACTTAAGTTACACTGTACAAGATCAACTTCCTTTTCTTGCCCTCTTTGCTTGGCTGGTTTCACTCTATAGTTCTTTTGTTTCTCTGAAGAATTCTGTTTCTCTTTTTATTTTGAACTGTCCTTTTTTGTATAAATGGCAACCAAACCATCTTCATCTTCTTCTCCTGGTCTCCTCAAACTGGAAGAACAGCTCACCTGTCCTGTGTGTCTTGACCACTATACCAACCCTAAGATCCTACCCTGCCATCACTCATTCTGTCAACAGTGTCTGGAGGGATTAGCTCTGAATAAGAAGAATAAGATCTATTGCCTCTCTTGTCCCACTTGTCGTCATTGTACAGAGTTACCAGAAGAAGGAGCAGGAGCCTTTCCTGTAGCATTCCACCTTAACAACCTCAAAGAGATGTACCATTTAATGGAAAAGACATCAGTTTTTTCAAATCCTCAAGAACCTGGCACATGTAGTGATCATGGAAAGCCTTTAGAGCTATTCTGTGAAACATGTAATACAGTAATCTGTGTTAGCTGCTCAGTTCGTAATCACAAAAGTCATGAATATGACTTAATCACTGACAGCTATACTAAGCACTGTAAAAAGTTAAGAGAATGTCTATCACCAGTTGAGGGAAAGAAGGAAGCACTCAAGAAGGTCTTGTCTGCTCTAGGAGAGAGAGAGGGTGAGATCAGAGAGAGAGGAGAAAGAGTCTTTGAAGAAATACATGAAATGGTAGAGGAAATGATGAATGTTCTTTGTCAGTCTGAGAGGAAACTGACTGAGCAGGCAAAGAGGGTCACTGATGCTAAACTAAAGGTGCTGTCAGAGCAAATGAAATCAGTAGAAAAGAGTTTGAGTGTTCTGGAGGATGTTGAGGATTATGTGGAACAGAGTCTGAAGACAGGCAGTCCTCAACAAGTCCTGAGGTCTAAGAAACAGATGATGGAGCATATGAGTAAAGTTACTGCAGGGATCAATGTGGAGGAGCTACATCCAAAGGAAAAAGCCGACTTTGGATTGAGTAAAGATATCAAATCGCTACATCATATTGGAGATATTATCATACCATCACAATATAGAGTAAAGAAGATTGATTGTATTACACCTGCTGTTAAAACAGTTTCGTTTTCACTATCAATGGAGGCACCAGATTCATCTGTTTTGTGTGTTCCCCTCTCTTCTCTGAGGTGTAGTCTAGTACCAGTTGGTAAAGGTGATCAACCCATTCACACTACAGTCACTACCACCAGCACTGATCCTGGAGTGTATAGGATACAGTGTAACCCTTCAACACGTGGTACTCATACAGTAAAAGTACAAGTATATGATGTACACCTTGAGGATACCTCACTAGTCATCCCTTTCAATCCTTACCTTGATAACATCACTCCAGTACGTACTATAACTGAGCTTAAGTGTCCCTGGGGAGTGGCTATAAGTGAGGATAATCATGTTATAGTAACTGATTTTAATGGTAACTGTGTAACAATACTGGATAGAGAAGAAAAGAAAGTGAAATCATTAGGAGGGAAAGGAGGAAGTGGTAATGTCAAGTTTTCTAATCCTCGTGGTGTAGCCATTACTCCAGACAAATTCATTCTTGTATCTGATAATCACAGGATCCAGAAGATAAGCATGGATGGATACCTTATAGCATCATTTGGTAAGGAGGGCAGTGGACCACTACAATTCATTCGTCCTTTTGGTATAGCCATTTCTCCTATAACAGGACAGGTTTATATTGCTGATAATGGTAATCATCGTATACAAGTCTTAAATCCTGATCTAACCTTCTCTCATTCATTTGGTAGTAAAGGATCAGCTAATGGACAGTTTAAGCATCCAAATGGCATTGTTATTGACAGTCAAGGATTAGTGTATGTTACTGATAGTCACAATCATCGCATTCAGAAGTTCTCTCCAGATGGAAAGTTTACGGGTCAGTTTGGTACTTATGGATCTAGTCCTGGACAGCTTAGTATCCCAGTAGGTATAACAATAGACACTGCAGCTACTGGTCTAGTGTATGTTAGTGAGAATGGCAATCATCGTATATCAGTCTTCACTAGTGATGGTGTGTTTGTTAGGAAGTTTGGAAGGAAAGGCAATAATATTGATCAGTTTCATACCCCTATTGGAATAACATTTAATAAAGATGGATTTTTGTATGTTTGTGATTTTAGTAATAAGCGACTTGTTGTTTATTAATTATTAATACTAAACTAATTATGTATCTAGTTTTATTTGTATTAATTTTTATTATTATTGATATTCCTGATTTTTGTGGTGTGTTAATTTTTGTATTTTTGTGCTCACCTTAAATCCACATAATTTAAACCACCCTCTAATCCCATTCTATTGTATATAGACTATGGCCAGAACATGAAAATTAGCTCACACAAATTTTGAGCACTTTCTTTAAAAAAATGAAATTGAAACTGGAACTGTATAAAATGTTTTTAGTTGGACATTTACATAGTTTACATAACATAACTGTAAATCATAACATCTATACAGTATTTCTTTATATACAGTATCCTACCTTGATATGTACACATATCTAATTAAACCTCTCTCTTTCTTTCTCTTTCTCCTCTCTCTCCCTCCCTCCCTCCCCCCCCCCCTCTCTCTCTCTCTCTTACAGTATCCTACCTGATGTCCAGTGCATCTTTGGTCATCTCCTTGAGAGTAATCTGCAATACTATACTCCTGACCTCTTCTGGAAGAACTTTAGACTAGAGGGTCAACCCGTCAACGTATTAGAACACCAGGTACCTCACAAAATCGCACCCTATTTGACCACACCTACTTTTTAGGATGCCTCTGAGTTTTTCTCAAGCTTGACTGATCAGATAGACGAGACTCTTAAAGTGGGTGTGGCTAGTTATTAAAAGTAATTAATAATTTTGTTATTAGAAAAGAGGACACAGTAAAGTGTTTGAGGAGAGATTTGGTGGACAGTTTCTGGACCAAATCATATGTCACGGCTGTGAACACAGGTGCTAACTTATTGTCCACCATTTTACATGTACATGTACAATATACATGTATTACTTGTACATGTAATGTACATGTAGATATGTGCATGTAAATAATAATGTATGCATATGTACATGTACATGTACTTATGAATGAATTTTGTCATTACTTTGTTCTATTTATTTCTTACTCGTTCTTAATTCTTTATCTTCCTTTCTCTCCTCTCTCTCTCTCTCTCTCTCTCTCTCTCTCTCTCTCTCTCTCTCTCTCTCTCTCTCTCTCTCTCTCTCTCTCTCTCTCTCTCCCCTCTTTCTCTCCTCTTTTTACTCCTCTCTCTCTCTCCTCCTCTAAAGGTTTGAGAAGCAGCAAGGTTTCACGTCCCTCCAGCTCTCAGTGGTTCAGTCTAAGAGTCTCACTGAGAGTCTCCAGGAGTTTGTGCGAGGTGACATGCTAGAGGGAGACAACAGATACCTCTGTGGAGAGTGCCAAGAGAAGGTATGTAATTCAAATATCAAAATAATGTTATTAATAATAATTTTGTCTTTTTAACCCTTTACTCAGTAAGCATCTGCCTATATTAAAAAAATTAAATTGTCATCAATTTTTTTGTTTTATTCTTCACATGCTTATACTGACATTCGTAACTGTTAAAATTGCTAATACATGTATAAGACCCACCAATTACAAATTTTAAACAAATCTTCTTATTTAACGACTTCCAAATGAGCCAATTTTCCGGCTGTAAAACTTATTTATAACACTTAATATTTTTTTGATATGACTGTGAAACTTAATTATAGTACTTACATGTACATGTATACATGTATATCTTTTTAATTAAATGATTGTTTTTTTTTCTATTTTTAGAGGGACACTTTAAAGCGTACCTGCATCAAGACTCCTCCCCCTACCCTGGTAGTACACCTCAAGAGGTTTGACTATGATTGGGAGACTAACAGAGAAATTAAATTTAATAATTACTTTGAGGTAATTAATTATAATAATAATTAATTAATAATAATAATAATGATTAATTATAGGTAATAATTATCCACTCTTGAGTACATGTAAGCGCATGAGCATGCATATAAACTTGACTTTAAACCCCCCCCCACCCCCCACTAATTTTTGTGAATTTTGAGCTGATTCTGATTATAAAGGTGACCATCCTGTACTATACCGTATAGACGGAAAATTTTGCGGGAATTTAATTTTGTGCTTTGCGTTTTAAAAATAAATGCATAATTAAAAACCATAAAATTAAAATCACGTAGGCTCGATGGGCGTGTATCTTTAGCATTGTGTACGTACGTATGTACACGTGTGGGCGTGGTCAAGACGACGTGGCCAAATCGCATAATTTTAATTTGAAAAATTAAAAAACATTCAAATTTTATTGAAAACGCAAAATTAAATTGCCGCAAAATTTTCCGTCTATACGATACATTGGTTCTGAAGCATCCTACATTTTCTGATACATTTTGTCCTTATGGCTATGTCAGTAATAAATTATGCATGTATTATTATTATTATGCTATGTAGTGGTATGAATATCATTATAGTCCGACCCACGATAGCCTTGTAACGTTTTTTGCATTTATAAAGAGATCAAGTAAAGCACAGCTCTATATCTGAAACTTGCCTAGTTAAAATTTTTGAATGGGCAATTCACTGCAATTGCCCTGCTCTAATAGAATCATAAATTTATTGATAAACTACTATAGCAGTGTTGATTTCTAAAAAATGCCCAGTTTTTGTAACCCAAGGATTTTTTTTTCAAAATTGGCTCCATGATCATTCCAAATTTTTATTACTTCTTGTACATATTGATGTAAAAGTCTGAGCCAATTCTGATTCATTGTGTACATGTACATGTATGCATTAATTATCGTAGAAATTGAATATCTAACTGCTTTTATTTTTATTATTCTTTTTAAATTTTTATGCGTTTTTACTTTTACGGTTTACATTACAGACAGTCTGAGGTTACAAACCTCAGTAGCCACTAACAAGTAATGAATGTCATTATAGTCCGACCCACGATAGCCTTGTAACGTTTTATGCCTTTATAAAGAGACCAAGAGAGCATTGGAGTGTTACTGTAGTTAGAGGTTTTAAAAAAATTTTTGAATGGGCAATTCACTGCAATTGCCCTGCTTTAATAAAGAAATATTGAATTTATTATTGATTGATTAATAACTTAATACTATGGCAGGAATAATCAATCATGTTGATATCTAAAAAATACCCTGTCATGTGGCTAGCCCATGCTTTTTTCTAAAATTGGCTATGTAATCACGACCGATTTTTATTTCTTTTTTCACATATTGATGTAAACAGTTTGAGCCCATCCTGATTCATAATCATGTGTCTTATTAGTAGTTATAATAATAAGTTGAAGTACATGTGGATTCCAACAACGTGTTACAAGCCTCAGTAACAAGTAATGAATATCATTATGGTCCGACCCACGATAGCCTTGTAACGTTTTATGCATTTATAAAGAGATCAAGTAAAGGGCATCTGTGTATCAATTTTTTTGTCTTGCGATGCTAAGTTAAAATTTTTGAATGGGCAATTCACTGCAATTGCCCTGCCCTAATGAACCCTGTTTTGTAACGAAAGGATTTTTTCAGAATTTGCTCTGAGATCATCCTCAGTTTTATTACTTTTTTGTAAAAGTTTGAGCAATTCTGATTCATAATCATGCATCATGTACTTTACATGTATACATTAATTATTATAGAAATAGAATAGCTCATTACCTTTATTATTATTATTATTTGTTCTAAATTTTTTTTACACTTTTTTAATTTTACAGTTTACATGTAAGGCGTACTAACTTCATTTACAAATTTATAACTAACAAACGAATTAACTCATTTTTAATTTTACTTTTTCTCTTTTATCGTCAAATTAAAATCACCTAAAAAATATTCCACGCTAATTATAATATATATCTTTCTCTTTCAGTTCCCTAAGACGCTAGACCTGGAGCCATACACAGCTGAAGGTATTACGAGCCGTGAGAAAGGCCTAGGCCCCTCCTCTCCATTAATATATAACCTGACTGGGATAATAGTACACCAGGGACAAGCTTCAGCTGGTCACTATTACGCATTCATTAAAACAAAGGGGTGAGTAAAGGGTTAAATATACCTTGTGTCTTAATAAAATATGACATTTATGTAGCATAATAAAGTACTGCCAAGCTATTGTATTCTTATGACTTTACATGGGTAATTTATTTCACTTGAAATTTTTATTATAGGAAAAATACTTTTATGAAAGCCACACCCTCGTTACACAAAGCCACGCCCACAATACCGGAGGAGGAAGAGATGGAGACTATACAGACACACCCACTCCAGGAGGAGGAGAAGGAGGAGGAGCAATGGCTCAAGTTTAATGATACTTTAGTGGAGCGATTCATCATTGATGAGTTCACACTGGAGACTGAGTGTTTTGGAGGCAGTGTTAGGAGCAACTCCTCTGATCCAGGTTAGAATATTACTGTAATTTAATATTTGTATTGGTTTTTGTTGGGTTTTCTGATATATGTTGATGTACTTATGCTGTGTAGAAAGTTTGAGTTGATTCCAACTTAAATTTTTCAAGTTACAGCCATTTTAAAAAATCGGCCAATTTCTGAAAAATTCCCTGTACTATAGCCCATGGTTTTTTCCAAAAAATGGCTAAAAAATGACCCCCAATTTTTATTACATTTTCTGATACATATTGATGTACTTATGCTGTGTAGAAAGTTTGAGTTGATTCCAACTTAAATTTTTCAAGTTACAGCCATTTTAAAAAATCGGCCAATTTCTGAAAAATTCCCTGTACTATAGCCCATGGTTTTTTCCAAAAAATGGCTAAAAAATGACCCCCAATTTTTATTACATTTTCTGATACATATTGATGTACTTATGCTGTGTAGAAAGTTTGAGTTGATTCCAACTTAAATTTTTCAAGTTACAGCCATTTTAAATATTGGCCGATTTCTGAAAAATTCCCTGTACTTATAGCCCATGTGTTATTCTCCTTATTTTTATTCAGTTCACACGTCCCATCCAGAGAGTAGAGTGAGGCACTGGAATGCTTACATGTTGTTTTATGAGGCAGCGAATGAAATCAAGAAAACACAAGACACTCGTAAAGAACAGGACAGGTAAACTTACATGTATATCTACATTCACACTAGCATGTACCGTATTTACTCGATTAAACGCCCAAGCGTTTATTTCTTAACAGGAAAAAAATCAGGTAAAAAAACAAAAAAGCCTCTAGAGGATTTGAACCCACAACCTTCAAACATTCCAAACTGTACTCCAATAGTTAGACTATCTGGCACAATCTCAATATTAAGAGACATATACTGGGTAAAATATGCGTATCTATAGTTAGAAAATATTTGTCATGGGCGTTTATTTAAGCAGGGCGTTTGTTCAAGCAAATACAGTAATTTTACAGTAGTATAAGCAAAAATTTAATCAATTTATTGTCTTTTACACACTTCCTCATGTCATTAATTTGTGTATTGTTATTAATACTTTATTTATTATTTATTTTCATTAGTCCAGTGACTGTTGTACCAACAATGTCCAGTGAAGATAATTTGAGTCAGTTACAAGAGCTGGTCACAAAAGGAGAGAAAAGAGGAGTTTTTAATGATAACATACCCCTCACCATACAGAGAAGTGTA